GAAAAGGAAAAGAATTTAAACTGTAAAACAGTAATTCACCAGCAAATTTAAATCTATGCAAAATGTTTTTAATTTGAACTGTAAAGTATCAGTGTGGGTCCACTTGTGTGAGATTAAATATTTAATACTACTTTTCCTCTGACCAGCATTAAGTCCTTCTTGGCAGGCTGTTTCTGGAAGGTTATTTCAAAACTGTTTTACCAATCAGTGGTAATCTTGTGTTTACATCTGAGTGTTCATTCTCTTAATTTTTTAGTGAATATATCAATTAGGAGACCATGAAAGAGTTAAGACAGTCCAGCCTCAGGATGAAGGTATTGGTAGGAGCAGGGTATAGTATCAGAACTACATACAAGGACCTGGTGAAGCAGGTCCACTAGTATGAGTGAATAGTTAGTTCACGGAGATATAGGCAGACACTTAGCATGCAGATTTGATATGAAGAAAATGAGGAACCTTTGAAGAACTTTAAATTACATTTCGTTTAAAAAAAGATAAAACAGTTCATTAAGAAAAGCTTGTATTTGAGAAAGGTAAGGCTAGCATGAGACCACTCTGGATAATCAAAAAAAAAAAAAAATGACCCCAGTAGCGCTCCTTTTATTAAGATATGTTTGTGATGCATAGTAAATACCTTCATTTTGGGGAACTGGTACATTTACATATTTGATCATTTTTTCTTCTCCCTTTTCTCCTCTCCCTCCCAAGTCCCTTCCCCCAGTCCTGCAATCCCTTTGGTCCCAGTTATACACCTTCTCCTATACACACCTTTGCAGCACCTTCCTCCAGCCCCACAATTCCTTGCAACTTGAGTTAGCCAATAGAATGTTGCCAAAGTGAGAGTGTATCATTCTGAGTCGGGGCTAAATATATCATTCTTTCAGAAACCTTCTTCCAATATGAGAATGAAATGAGTCAGCCTGCTGGTGATCAATGAACCACGTGGAATTAACTTAGTTGTTACAGCTAAGACCTTCCTTTATAATCAGATACTGAACACCTCTGAGAAAGTACAGACAAAATCAGCAGAACCAGTGCCCAGCCATTGCTGGTTGCAGACACAGCCTGCAACCAGCCAAGACCAGCATAATGTCCTAGCTCACCAGAGTAATAATAGATGCTCACAGATGCCACTGTGTTTTGAAGTGGTGGCTAAACATCACTACAAAACTGCACACTCCAACAAAAGCATTATGGATAGATATAAAGACCAAAAAAAAAACCACTTTCAATTGATGATTGAGCATAACCTTAAAATAGAACACACACTGCTTATTAAATTTCTTCTGTGAAATAAACATTACTTGAGATCACCATTATTGATAGGATCTCTCTTCAATAAATGCTTCCCTCTGACTTAGTTTCTTCTCCATTCTTCACAAGTTCCCTTCTTATACTCAGTGTATTCTCTCTCTAGTGCTGTCACAAAGCTTCAAATGCTCTATGGTGTTTTCTGAAGACCCTTAGCCACACTGATAAAAATTCAGAGTATTTCCCCTCTCCAGAGAGACATTATTTGAAAAAAAGGTATTCATTGCATCTCATAGTCTTTGGACACAGAATAGATTTACAAACATACCTGTTAATGAATGAATGGATTCCCGTCCTTAATAAAACTGCTCTCCGATTTAAAATTATTTCTGGTTCTTATCCCTAGATTTGTAAACATAAGCCCCTCTTTTTCTTTCTGACCTAAAAGTATTTCTATAACCTCATAATATTTCCTTTATTTATGACTATAGAAATTAAAATAGTGGCTCTGCCACTTACTACAATGTGACATTGGAGAAATTACTTTATCTTTCTGTGCTTCAGTGAACTTATTACAAAATGATAACAGTAATACATATTTCTGCAAGATTAGCTTAAATATAAACCATAAATTTCTTGAACAAAACTTGTGGTGCAGGGTAAGTACTCAGTAAATGATAGCCTTAAAAAAAAAAAATCTCACCTGTCATAACACAAAGGTGATCCCAGCTCTTCAGTCTGCTTTCCTTGTTTAGACTACAATGCTCTGGTGGAAAGTAATATATTGCCACCAATTAAATGCTCTGTCTTGTGCCTCTATTGCCTTTGGAAATTGCAATATCTAGAGGACAGTGTTTGTTTTTCTAATACTTGTTTTAAACATTTCTGCTCTTTTTGAAGATTCTGCACCCACATAGCAGATAAATATCATCTTTTAAGGACCTGTATATACCCTCTGTAAATCCAAAGACTTCCTAGCATATTTCCTCTGGCCTTACCTTTAATTACCTAATTTCATCTATCCTTGGTCATTTATTACATTCTATTCCCAGATTCTAATCCAAGCCAATTAGCAGAATCTCAGAGAACAAAGTGAGGCATAGATATTTTTAGGCTCCTTAAATAATTTCAGTTTCAACCAGGAGTAAAATTTGCTCTTTCACATTTTCCTTCCTCTTTGAAGCTAATGGCTTTAAGATCACTCTCCTAGATTATTTTAATAATTTCTAACTTTTAGTCATGCCCACATTATCATTTCTTTAAGACTTTTAGTGACAGTTTTGCTAAAATTTATAAAAAACAATTTTGGACATAAACTGTTTTGCTCATGTAACTTCTAGAATTAAGTTTAATTGATTTGCATACCTGATAGGATCCACCAGATAAATGTCTAGGTATAGTTCGTACCATGTAGTAACGTCATATATTGAAGAAAAGCTGCTATGACAAAGCAAAACAAATATGCAGTTATAAATCTGCATATTCACTTTTTCATGGGTTGGCACAGTGTCACGAACATGTAGGGTCACTTTTAAGGTTACACTTCATTTGACTCCCAAATTCAGTCTACAAGAAATCTATACATGTATCATCCTAAATAATTCTATACATAAGAAAGGGAAGTATGTAAGGAAAAAGGCACTTACCTTTATAAAATTTAGTAATGTTCTACCACAAAATTTTTACATGGATAAGAAAGGCAGAGAGAGCCAGTCTATGTTTCTCCACGTCATTATAGCAGTGTCCAGTCCCATTGTGAAGCTGAACACTGACAGCAGAACTCATGCCTAACTCCTGATTTTAGTTCCTATAACATTCATCTTTTTTCACAATAATCAAGTAAAGTATGTTTTCTTTCATTACAGAGAGTTTAATGATTAGCGTGAGGGCCTACCATAAATATTCTCTCTCATCTGTCCATGGAATATTACATAATATAATATTAGGAAGTGCAACTAATCAGTGAGAGAATAGCTCAGAGATAATGATCTTTGTTCTTGAGATTTGCAGAACTGGAAAGCACTTGTGACTAGGTAATTAAGATCAGATATAATCATTTGACCACAAGCCTAGCCATGGCCCACCTGTCTTACATAAACAACTTTGGACCAGTTTCCCAGCACATGACTGGTCCATTACGGCAAAAATCTTTGTCATCTTCTAATGAACTGATTTATCATAATAAGAGTTTCATTTTCTTGTTCTTTTTGCAGTACTAGAAATTTATTTTATCCAGGACTTTGCACTAAGCTACATCCCAGACCAACTTTTTATTTTTTATTTTAAGACAGGGTCTGGATATGTTGCCTAGAATTGACTCAAACTTATGATCCTCCTGCTTCAGCCTCCTGATTATCTGAGATTAATTTCACACACCATCAAGCTAGGCCTTCTTAACTCTACCAGTATTTTCTTTTCAACTAATTGGTTTCTTTGTGCAACATGCATTCAAGCATTTCGTGTGGTAACAATTCTAATTCTTCCCATTTAAGTTAGTGAGTCAAAATAAGAAAGGACTGAATATTACTTGATTTCTTTGCATACATTCTCCTTGTAAATAGATGCATCACTCATGAACACAAAAACCGATCACAGCTTTAAAGTTCAAGTCTCAATAACTCAATTACTTACTGTGCTATTAGGCAACTGTCTTATCAAAAGTCATAATTCAATTGTTTAGTATTGTGTAGTAAGAATTTGCTGAGAAAAATAAAGAACAGGATTAACCTTTTTTTATTTCAACCTTATGTGCAGATTCTCAGAGGTCTTTCTACTTCTGAAACTGATACAAAACTTGAAATCATATATAACAATATCTGGAGTTAAAACTGGAAATTTCATTGTACTAAAGCAACAAGGGTATATAAAAATAAAATAAAACTATAGGTGTTCCAAAAATGGAGATTTCAAAATAATTATGACAAATCTGTCACTTAATACCCTCATGCTGCAATCTGTGTTCCAACATATTACAAGAGATGGACACTCAATTAGAGGTTAAGATCTCTCTCTGTCTCTGTCTCTCTGTTTCTGTCTCTCTCACACACACAGAGTTCATGTGAAAATTAATGAACTCTGAATATTGCACAAATATCAATTTTATGATTTTAACAAAGGATGATTTGTAAGATGATATTGCTAGTGAAAAAATAGGAAAGTACACTAAAACCATCCACACTATTTTTGCAGCTTGTTATGAATCTTAAATACTCTCAAAATAAACCAAGTACTGTCAAATAGTGTAAACACGAAATAATAGTCATAGTTAGATTTTGATGCATATTTCCATTATAATGTATTTCAAAATATAAACTGCATCCTTTCCCAGTTTTCATGATAAAATGAATTTTGCACTTGCAATCTTAATGTCAGCTGTACTCACAGTCAAGATATAGGCAAGAAACACAAATGTAAATGTATTTTTGTTGTTTTCTATTGGAACCTTATGTAAGTGGCATAATTTTCCATGGGTCTCTATTAAAAGAAGACTAAAGATTTTATGTCAGCGTCCCTATGAATTCTGAGATTTGCCTTCATAGTGACTGAAGTGCTTTCAAAATAAAATACAAGAAAATGGTTTCTCAGACAGAAAGAGGAGTAAGGGAGGGGAAAAGAAAGGGACAAAAAAAAGATTAAGAGGTGTTAAGTACATGTACCAATTATGACTATACTCATCATGTACAACAAACATGCACTAACAAGGAGATTCCTCCTACTTCAAAAGAATAAAATAAAACAGAATTTCCAAATTGTACTTATGAAAGAGTCCATTTATATCCCAATTTTATTAACCTTTTCTGAGTAGTCACAACATTAATCTACCGGGGATAATGTAGTCAGTATATTTGAAATTCCATTTATTTTTTTCTATTGATATGCATGTATTACAGGTGTGTATAATACAGAATTTCCAGTGCTGTTTTAAAGGACATAGTTTTAAAAATAAGAAGCATGATCTATAATTTCAAACAAACTTAAGACAAATTCACAATTTTCAAAATAATATAGTTTTCCATTTTGTTCCAAAGAAATGAATGAGATTCTAATTGATGCAGAAACTCCAGCACAATTGTTACTCCTTTCTTTATGATTACATGGTCTTGAATCACTGCAATATCCACTCAGAGCCATCTAATTAGTTTTATGCATAATTAAAATGGAGGCAGAAAGTAATTTCATTCCACAGACTTGTGGGACAGTGGATCTTAATTCAGTGTCAAAAGTACACTTTACAAATTAATTTCCAACAAATTTTACATTTTTAATTGTTTTTCTTTGTAAGGTCTTGGTACTATACTGTGTTTTTGAATATCATTACAAACAAATAGACCAAAGGTCTCCAGGACATATGACCCTCCATCACAGAAACCAACCTCTGCCTAACTGGCTGAGTCAGTGAATCCTACGCATATAAGCTATCTGCACACCTTCTAGCAGGATGGAACTTTCATAAGATAATTTGGAAGAGTCTTCTAATCAGTCTAACATCAGTAAAACACAGAATCCCTCCCTTCAGATTCCTGCAACCCAGAGATTTACACAATATTATTACAGAAGGGGGATATGATTTCCATTCTTCTCTCCATCCACATCAGAAATGAAACAAAATAAATGTAGTATAAAATTATACATTCTGTAATAACTTAGAAAGAAGTACATAAATGTTTAAGGCCTTTAAATATTTATAAGACGTTCCTGTAGAACCAAAAGCCACAAATGTTAAAGCTATGAAAATGTGGACAAATTACTGGCCTAAAAGATTGTTTGAATGGAACAAATATTTATAAATTTGTGACCAAGAAAAATGAACAACTTAGTCTATCAACAGACTGAACAAATATATAAGCATTCAAACAGTCATTAGGATCAAGCAAGAGATAAGTCTTTTAAAATGAAATAGGAAAAAAAGATAGTTGAAAAAAAATACTAGAAGAAATCTAAGTGAATAACATTCAAGCTAACAAATCAGAAACTCACATGCATCCCTGACAGTTTTAAACTGAAGGCTACCTAATAACTTGTCTGCTTCTTGTTGCTGATTTCTATAAAGGGGAAAATTAAATACAAAAAAGCCCACTTTACAAAAACAAAACAAAACAAATCTGAAAGGGAGAGTGTTCCAGAGGTGCAAATTATTGTCTAATGAAAATGGTAATCCAGTTCTAACTAGTACCTATCTAACCGACAGAGAGCTGCAGCAGCATGTTAACCTTGGGGAAACATGTCAGCTTGTCTATACATTCTTATATGATTGATGTATTCAGATTACTATTACTTGCCAACAATAATTATTATCGATGGATATATATTTCCATTCCTTTAACAAAAGCAACTTTAAGATGTTAAAACAGTAGGCTTTCAGAGCTCCAAGATTAAGATACAGAGAAAATTATCTCAGTCTATGCCATGCCAGAGAATTTCACAAAGGAAATGTTGTCACTAGCCAAAGAACAAAGGACCCAGGAACACATCCATGACAGAAGGACAGTGCACTTGGAGACAGCTTTCAGAAACAAGAAAACCAGTCACAGCTTGGAGCCAGGAACCCAAAAGGTGGCTGTCTCTGATGTCACCCTGAAAACAGCAATGCTCAACCAGCTCTGCCAATGGTGACTTCAGATTCCCTTAGCAACTGTACAAGTTGAGCACAGTTCCAATCTGATGAAGTCTTTATGATAGAGAAGTTCATGTCTGACTTTTTAAATATCTTGATCTCAAGAAGAGGCTGGAAAGGAGTCATAGAATCTCTTGGAAATAGACTCTGGAGCATCTCTTCTGAGCCGTATAAAACTCTTCAAGGTCATCTCAGGAGTTCAGTTTCAATGTAATCAGCCTGGAGAATCACTTGATTTATCCTTGGTTAATGGGTTACCTGCAAATAAAGGAGAAAATTCAGTCAGTATTTCATAGTATATCTATATTTTTTTAAATACAATTACCATTTAAGAGATATTTGGTACTTCCAATATCAACTCCAGTGCTGCATTTTAAGACTATCATATTCAACAGTTTCCAACAAAAAAGAACCATTTTTTTCTTGTTATTTCATGATATTTCTAGAGCCATTTACACAATAATTTACATAACGCCAGAATGATCTTACTTGGCAATGATACTCATTTCAAGGCCAGAATATGATTCCAGAATCCCTGCTCATTTCATAGGCTTGGTGGAAATAATCTGAAGATCATAAACACATCATACTAAGACATAGTGAAGAATTACCTCTGTTCATTGAAATACAATGAGACCTCATTCTCAAAAAAAAAAAAAAAAACCCTTGGTATAATCTCTATAATATTCAATCACAAAATAATTTTAAAACTGGGTATTTTAATTAATTGTACATTAAAAAAATTAACTATATTTAAGGACAAAAAAGAAACAGGAGAAGGAAAAGAATGAACAGTACAATGATTCATCAAATTAAATGTGACCAAAAACACTTAAAAAATGAGTAGAGTGTTACTACTAATGATATTTTATGTGTTAGGGAGATTCACAGTGACTTTTCATACTACAGTCAAAAGGGAGAGAGAGAGAGAGAGAGATGTACAGACAAACAGAAAGAGAGACAGAGAGACAGAGAATGAGAGAGAAATTCCTGCTGTGCCAATGAATTTCTGATTCTAGTCACAGGAGAGACAGTATATTTGGAGAAAATTATCTAACATTTGTTTTCTAGCAATAACTAAATTTTCAACATTATTGTGGACACGCTTTATCATATTAAATAACATATTTATTTGTTCTTTGTAAAATACTTACAAAAGACTATTGTTTGCTTGCTTGATTTTATTTTCTCATCAACTTTGAAAAGTAGAAATTAAACTACATAATAAATTAGCTTCAAATTTTGCCTTGCTGCTGGGTGTGGTGGTGCACACCCATAATCCCAGCATTTGAGCGCTGAGGCAGGAAGATTGCTGTGAATTCTAAGTCGGCCGGGGTTACACAGTGAACTCAAGGCTGCTCTGAACAACATGGCAAGATCTTGTCTCAAAAAATAAATAAACGAATTTTACCTTGTCATAGCTAATCTCACATTATATTCAAAAGGAAGATATAAAATCCAAAAATGTTTTTCTTGCATGGAGGCAGCTTCTTGCTTCTGCCTCTGGTCCACTAGCCTTCCCAAAGGAGCCTTGGCCTGTGCCTCTCAACTGTCTTACTCTTCGGCACAGAAGAACCATGGAAGCAATTGAACTGAGGATTGAAAGCTACAAATACAGGAAGGGCTTTAGAGATTCAGGGATCAGCTAATATCTTAGGAAAGCAACAGTCTTGTTACCAATCTGTTTGCTACTCAGTGGTAACTGTAGGCAAGTTCAACAGAAAGCTCCCAGACTGATTCAAGTAAGAAAGTGAGAAAGTAGTATCATTTGCACAGAAATTATACCACAAATTACTTATGGGGAGAGTTGATGATTATATGAAATATTATTTTATAATACATTTTCTCCACAAATTTGATGTAACACAGTCTTTGATTTCTACTGGCTAAGAGTCACCTACTTTTTCTGAAATTTCTCTTCTGTGGAGGAAAACAATATGAAACATAGTATGAAGACCATGTTTCAAAACTAGTGCTGAAATAGCAAGAAAAGGTAGGGAAGGAGATTGAGGAAGAGCAAAGGGTTTAGCTTCAATCCAGTTGCATTGTGAGCAACTGAGACAACATGGTGGAACTGAATTGGAGAACTTGTTGGTGGGAGGTGACTGCATGAGTGACTCCACCTCTTGAATTACATCCTGTAATCACTCATGAGTATGGTAAATACCATACTGCATCTTCATTCCAAGCTTAGTACTTGATCCAGTTGTTTTATATAAATCTGAGAGATACTGTCAACAGTTTATGTATTTGTTTTATGTAACTCTATAAACAGCCCAATTTGCAGTATAACACCAAAGGTTTATGTAACTAAAACAAATTTTCCCATCTTTAAAATTACACACACATACAAATATGCATGTGCACATACACACACACACTCAGATGCACTCACTCACATGAACATATGAACTCATACAAATATATAACCCCTGTCCTCGGGAATACAAGAACATCATAAATATACACTGCTTTTATGCTATGTTTGTACTGGCTGAAGTAATTACTAGGAAATTAAATTTTAACATAACTAAAAGAAGTAATTATCTAAATAAGCATGGACTGAAAAATAATTAAAGCAACTTTTTTCTCACACTTCAACTATACACAGTATTCCTAGATTATTAATCCTAAAAATATCCTAGCACATTTTATGAGATGAAGAGTGGAGCATAAATCATTTCTAGTATTAAATGAAAGTGTATGGTCTCTTTTAGATTTGATTCTTTAACTACCTGAGTTTGATCAAAGGATATATTATAAGTAATCTTATAGAGCTCTGGCCAATGAGGCAACAACATTAATCATCCTGCATGTTATCTGTGATTTCTGCCATGCTGTTTTCTCATATGTAAAATAATATAGCGTTAAATTCAAGGTTTCTATAAAGATCAATTATTATAATGCTTATGAAAACATTTAGCATTGTCAAGACTGGACTATGAAATAAAGGTTTTGATTTGTGGGATTTTTTAATGCGTAAATCTTAAAATACTCACTAAAGGTAGAATGAATTGTTAGAGGACTTCACTGAAAGAGCTCAAACAAAAACTAATGATCTACCTTTTCAACACAATATAAACATGAAAATGTGTGAACCTGTATCAGGACTCTCATCGACAACTCCCAGGTTTGTACTGAACAAAATAGAAATCTAAAAAATTATCTGAGAGATACACTTTAACATCCATAAAATACATTTTACCATTTTAAAAATACATGAAAATGAATCTGCACATATGTACATTATCACCAAATTAAATCATCTACTATAAAGATCCAAATAACATTTCAAAATGATATGCATTACATAACACTAAACAAAAATCAGCCTTTTAATGACTTACATGCTCACTAAATAAATAATAAGTCTAAGCAATGCTAATTTAAATCTTGCGTGCTGGTGAGTATAAAGCAAATTAAATGACACCTTACCATTTGATGACCATAAACTGGAATGTCCTGGTATGCAAGAATTGCTGGGGGATTTGTTTCTACCATCTCTTTGAAGGCAAATATTGTTATCACTGTTTTTCTTTGTTCTGATTAATTGTCTTTCTCTATTCAATATTCTGTTTTGATAATTTCTATAATGTTCTGTATTTGGTTTGATTTTGCTATACCTGATTGAAAGGACAACTGTTGTGAAGATAACGAGATATACTATGGTACCTCTTACTGTTATCCCAGTAACCTGCTCAATCGGTTTTGTTCTGTCTTGTTCGGTTGTATTTTACTACCTTCAAAGTAATTTAAAAAATTTTAGAAAGAATGTTATTGCTTAAAAAAAAAGACTTGAGATAAAGAATTTTTAAAAGAGAGCAAACAGTAAAGTTTTACCTCCTAAGGAGAATTTTTACCAAATTTTCAGTAACTTAAAAGCAGGAGGTTGCAATAAAATCAGCTTTACAGGGTGGTAAATAGCAGTTGCTAACATGAATGTGCACTATCTTCTAGTTCTGAGGGCAATAGATATAAAATATTTCCTGAGGTAGAGAAACAGTCCCATGATTGTTAAGGGTATGCCTTAGCTTCATATGCTATAATCACTACCCCAGTAAATTTGCCTTTCCAAGGACAGTATTTTATACGACTGGTCTTTTCTACGTGAATCTTAAATGTATGTGCTATTCACAAGTCTGTTTGGTACATGAAGGTACTAGAGTTGATGAACACATGAAAATGCAGAAATAATAAGACTCTCTTGTCCAGGTACAAGAAGACAGTGCCCTGGCAGAGAACCATCTGGATGTAGCAGTTAATCTTCTAACATTAAACCAAAAGTACTAATTTTTTAAGGCCAAAATATCTACCTATACTAGGGCAATAAATCTATTATAGGGGCCTGATTATTTGCCATTTGATAAAATCAAATAATATTTCCCAAAAACTTGGCCCAGTAAATGCCCTTTAAATATTAGCAAGTAGTAGCAATGGTAATTTCCAAATCAGGCATAAAATGTGGTAAGATTCTTATGTGAAGATGATTTATTTCTTGACTATCTATAAATATTGACATATTCAGTTTTGTGTTTCATATGTAATTCATTCAAAAATTATTTCTCCCCATCATCTTATTAATAATAAAAGTTCTTTCAAGAATGTGACACTGTTTGGGCTAGCTTTGGAAAAGACAGGCCTTTTTTAAAAACTTCGATAGAAGGTATGGATACAAGGTTGTGCTCTGAAATTAGGGTACCCGACGTCAGTAGTTAGTTCTGCTGATGACTCACTGTGTGATCTGGTAAAGCAAGCACACTACAGTGTAGAGCTACAGATGCTAAGTAGAGACTGAGTGTGGAGAGTAGTGTCTGACCCTTAACAAACACTGTGTTTGTTAACAACTACTATCCACATATGTGTACATTTTTAGGCATCTCAGTGACAGGATTCTGAGATTTTTGCCCCTGATTATTTTTGAGCATACATCACTAGTCTTCTCACATGCATAATTCCATTGTTTCTAACTCTTTTCTTTGTATTTTTGAAGGGGTAACTGCCATCAGACATGGAATAGAGTACTTTTATATAGGAAATCAGCACTGTAGTTTATCTGCACTTCCAAAACTAAATATGGTATGATTACACCAAAATGAAATGCAGATCTGAGAACTTCTCTATTCTTTATTGATGCTTTTAATTTTTCATCCCATATTCACATTAATTTGTAGTCTGTCATCTATACAAATTCAAAATCACTGTCAAATCCCCCAACATCAATGTGATTTTATATTAGTTTAATTTACAAAACAATAATTCTCTTTTCTAAAGTCATTAAAATTTTGTTTTGAGAAACCTGAACAACACTCATATGCCTGTGAATATAAATGAGTCACATACATACAGTAACAGAAGAGAAGACACATTACGAGCTTGCAGTCAATTTCATTTCAAAAGAGTTAAATTTTCACTAAAATACTCATGTTAATCGAGAACCATTTTTAGGACTAATGAACATTCTTTACTTAGAAGGAGACAAGGATATGAAGCAATATTTCTTTTTTTTTTTGAAGCAATATTTTTAAGAGGAGACAGCAAGTTTTAGTGCAGTCCTTGTCCAATGTTTATATCTGTTTAGTAGCATCACTAACAGACCAAATTTCAAGCTAATATCCAAATGAATTTAACTTATTCAATCAAGGTAAAAGGCAGAATGCAATCCCTTCATGATCTTACGTGCTAATCTGAATGAACCTTTTACTTTCTTGGAATATAATTGTGCTTCATCACTGATGTATTTGTTTAATGTAGCTCTTACAAGTACATGAATTAAGCTTTTACTTCACTCTGTGTGTACTAAATATGCAATTAAAACATCATTACTCTACAATAGCAGTTTTTCTCATTTAAGCTGGAGAAAAGCTGCTATCAAATTAGTTGTAACTGTAAATGAATATATTTGTTCTATCTCCAAGCACCTTACACAGTGAGGTATTACAAAATAAAAACACCTCTTCATGTGAAAATATTCATGCACAAGTAAGCTGACATTCACCTTTCAGGTGCAGATTAAGCATTATACGACAAGTACATGTGAATCATCTTCATAATTATAACCATGTATATAAAATATAAACCTATATTTTACTTTCCTGGTGAAAGAGGTAATTTCTATAGTCCTGATAACCACTGTAAAATCTACCCAGTTTAATTTTTCCACAAAAGAATTTATAGTGCTAGATTCACCTGAACATTTTGAGATATTAAAGTCTATCTCTTTAATACATTAGCAAGAATCAGGATTTCCATTAAGTGACCTTGAACTTGTCTCAGCTGTTTGTTCTATAAATACTTGATAATTTTAATAGCCTTAGGTGAGTGGAAAGATCATCATTTCAAACAAGAGAGAGGATAACTGTAGCTAACTGATCATATTTAAGTGTAACTCAGTCTCAGTAAGTTCCAGTGTGAAAGGAGATTGACAGTCCCTGGACTTGGCATATGACTGTCCTGGACTCTTAGAGAAAACCTCAATTCAAGCTATGACTGAGGACAGACAATCTTATTCTGTTAATCAGAAGATCCAAGATTTATACTAGTGTCATTATCTACTAGTTTTATAACTTTGAGTGTCATTTAAACATATCCAGTTTAAACTGCCAAGGGAGTCAGCTGAACTCCTTGGACTTCTAATTACCAATTAAGCCCCAACTGTTAGACTTTTCTTCAGAAGTAGTTCTTCCAAATGAAGTAAAAATTTCTCCTCATCACTCACATCCAACAGTAGTATAACCATTCTGTAGATTTCATTTTTCTAAAATATCTAATTGTTATATTAGAATGCAGAAATAGTGGGCTCTTACCACAAACACAACATCTGTCAGTAGCTTTGAGCTTTCTGTGCTGTGCAAATGAATATCTCAACTGGAAATGAATCTTTTGAACAGATGGAACTGTACTGTTTCTTGGAACTTTGAAAACTGTATAGCGAGTCTGCCATGAATTCTCCTATGTGACTCAGGGAAGCAGATGACTGTTTGCATTGCCATTTATACACATCCCTCTAGAAAGAAACAGATCAACTGATTCTCTCTTGATGACACTCGCTGTTAGCAAAACAAAACATCCTCTGTTTTTTCTTCAAGTAGCTAGTAAAATCCTTCAGGATTTTACATAATTTGTTAAGAAAAGATTTTTCTTCTTCTTCTTCCTCTGGCCCCACAACATACATACTTTCTGTTTGTGCAGATGGAAAATTACAATAAATAAATAATAACCAACCTATAATAACAGGTTAAGATAACTGTTAAATGCAACAGAATACAAGATAGGGAGAAGAACATCAAAACAATCCTCATTACATGAAACAATCATTTTAATAGACTTGAGGAAATCTGAGTACATTTTAGTAGCTATTAATTCCATCAACTAGCATAAATCACACAGTTTTAAAGACAGGTCAGATTTTGAACTCAATTGGAATGTACTTTACCTGCTAAATTTGACACTAAGTTATATTTTTTTTTTGATCGAGAATTAAACTCAGGACTTTGCACTTGAGTTGATAGGCTTATTAATTTTCTGTAGTAATACTTTATTTTAAAAATCTAAATCTAGTCAAGAATCATACTTCTTCACAATTTCAGCTTTACTAAATATTAGGGATTACAGAAGTAGTTTGCAAAAGTAACTGGGAAGTGTTTATATTTTAGTTAACAATTTTTTCACTGAGTCTTTTATTTGGGGGTTTCTATTTTGTATTCTTAATATATTCTAGATATTAGTCCTCTGTTTGAGGTATAGCTGGAAAATTTTTTCCCATTCTGTAGGATGTGGTACAGAAGATTTTTATATAATTGCATTTGTTCATTCCCAATGTTATTTCTTGCGCAGTTAGAATTCTCTTTAGATTTCCTTGCCTATACCAATGACTTCAAGAGTTTTACCTATTTTATCTTCCCACAGATTAAAGTGTTTCTGTTTTAATATTTAGATATGTGCATATCCATGCTTATAGCAACACAGTTTATAAAAGCTCATTGTTGGAAATGTCATATATGTCCATCAACACATGAGTGCATAAAGAAAATGTGTTATTTACATGTCATGGAGTACTACTCTACTCTCTAGATCAATTTGAGTCATTTGTAGGAAAATGTATGCATTTCGGATGCATCATGTTAAGTGAAACATATTAGACTCATAATTTTACATAGTATATGGTTTTTCTCATATGACAAACCCAAAGTATACATAAATTAAAGGGCAAGATAAATGATACATAAAAGGAAACAGGAAGGTAGATCTTTTGCTAATGGGACAGGGACAAAGAGGTGAATGTGGGGGGAAGAGTTAGAAAACCCAAAAAGAAGATGCACCATGTACATGCACTAACTACCCACAATGAATGTAGTCATTATGCATCATGAACATCCACTAGTAAAATAATTTTAAAATTTATTGCAATAAAATACTGTTCAAAATTTTAAAGCAGATTCTTAAAAACTAGTTTAAGATAAGTCGAATTTGAAGAGAAGAAGGGCTGAAACATAAGAAGTTCTTTGTAGTAGCTTTCTATTAACTTACTGGTTGGCTTGAGATATAAAAGCCAACGACTCTTAGTCACAGCATTGAGACACCTGCCCGAATGAAAAATATGGTGCTGTCACTTTGAAAAGAACTTGCTATAACTTGAGGAAGAATAAAGCCAGTAACAGCAGTTTCTAAGAACCTGCCTGAAGCAGCACTTGCTTTTTCCTTTCTGCTTCCATCTTCTTATGTATGGTGAAGTTCAATAGTGAACATTCCACATGTAGTACATGTTTTGATAAAAAAATTCCCCATTCTGTATATTGCAAAACTAAAATCTACTTTCTGAAGGACATAGCAGCACAGACAGCAATGTTCTTTGACCTCTTTTCCCTTTTTCTTAACTCTAATCCTCCTTGAGTTTGCCTAACAATACAATCCCAATTTGATAGTCTCATATTTCCAAGTTGATCAAGATATGAACCTTTAAATCCAGCTATTCATAACTGCTTAGGTGTAGGTGTAGCACAACACTCAATATGAGGTGATTCCAGAATGTAAAGAATTGGCCATTAGGTAAAAAGTCAGTCTTGATTTGGTTTATGGAGATTAAGTGCAAGCCTGATGGCTCAGTAATTTTCATACTAATTTTCAAGTAACAGTCTATGTGGACACTGACAGGAGTTTAGGAAATACATACACATGGAGATTTATGCTTTCCGTTTTCTATCCTTTCAAAGCAGTACTGCAGAGCTGCTAGAGGTGACAAGATTTGATTTACCAATCATAATACATTGGTTCTTTGTGAACAAATTTTCCAATGTACAGGCCTCATGTCAGTTCAAAGAATGATGCCTCTTTTCACTTATTTATGAAAGATAATTGTCTTTATTGATCAACATAGCAGTTGTATGCCCTCTGATCCGTACAGCTGTACCAAGTTCATCCTCTCCCCTTAAAATCAGAGGCGCTCATGTGCTAATGATAACTACAAGAAACAGTAGGTCATAGTTCATCCTGTTAACGTGGGGTACACACCTGCTGCTCTGCGAGAAATAAATCGAGATGGAAGCTCATTTCTGGAGTTGTTTTGAATCTTTACTTCTCAAGGAAACTTCTGTGCCTTCCTTAGAATCCGACCAACAGTAGGATTCATCACAACTAGTGCTCTAATGTGGAGCCAGAATATTTTTGGATGTGGAAAAATCAAAAACTGTCATCAGGCACAGCAGAAACCTTCTCTTTCTACTTCTCCATTCGAACTTGAAGAATTCTACACGTTTGCCTAAGAAACAAACACATGTCAGGTACTCCACTGTTCAACAATCATCACAAGAAGCAAATTTGGGAGAAAGAAAACATTTCAGTAAGTGTAAAGGGACAGCAAGACAGTAAGTTCTTTACCTCCAAATCATGGTCATAGTGAAGATATTTCTGTTTCTCAGAGAATTATAAAATTTACTATTTTTAATTTCAGAAAAATGTATAAGCATAAATAGGATCTGAAATGAACAATCTGATGAGAAATTAAAACAAGAATATTGAGCATTTTTCATAAATACTTTGCATTCTGCATAAACCTAAGAAAATCGAGTGAGAAAGTCCACAGAAATCAGAAGATAGTCATTTTACCAATGATAAAAGGACTTGAAGCAATATTATGTAGTACTATTTTGTAGAGTTTAAATATCTAACACTTGCAGTCTTAGCTATTGGTAGATTTATATGAGTATCTATGCTCACAGTAATTTATAATTTTCCAAAGCATGGCTTAATCCATATATACTTTAAGGCAAGTAAACTGGATCAAATCATTTAACTGAAGTTTAGGTCTAATCACTCTTGAATATTTGCTTTTTAGGTCAACTTTGCTGCTCTTTGCTCATTGTTAATTCTGTAATTCACGTTAAGAGTCCAAATGAGATTCATGATATTTTTAAGCTATAATTTGTGACATTATATAAACATAGATTTTCAAAAGCTTTTTTTATATTTGTGTCTTTCCCAAAGTATTCCAGAGGTACCAAAACATAGTACTTGAATTTCAAATACATGAATTATAATGTAATATTTGAGAAAAATACGAATAATGATAACATAATGATTGGTCATATGGAGCAGTATCTAATAATCAGAGTCATACGCCAGGAAAGTTTTAGTAGTACAAATTGAAAGTCAAATAAAATGCTGCCTACATAAATTTGAGAGGTCAAAGTAGTTAAAACTGATCATGGAGAAAAAAAACTAATCATGTCATAATAGAAAAGAATATTTTCCAATGTTCAAGAGATTTTGAATTTTTAAGCAGTAAAAACAAAAACCCTTTCCCCATCACTATAAATTTGGCACCTCCCTACCAAAACAGAAAATGTAAGATAACAATAGTGTCCTAAACAAGAGCAGAACTTTTATGGTCTAGTCCACTGTCTGGTCAGGCTGATATATTGATATATCACACTCTAAACAGTCAATGCCATGATGATTTACAGGGGATAAAGGTGGCTGAAGACAAAGAGTGAAGCTGAAGAAAAGTCAGAGGTGCTTCACGATCTTTAGGGAAAGCAAGGAACAGGTCTAGAAATACACCACTTACACATTTCCAGTGCTCTATCCCCAGTGAACATTTTTAAGCATGCAATATATTTTTCCATGTTTTATCTCCAGTTTCTTTTCATCTTGTAGTTCTGTTCCCTACTTCTATCCCACTGTCACTACCTTAATCAAAACCTTTATTGCATCTGGAATTGCACTAACTTTCTGCCTTGACTCTCTGACTTGTCCCTTGAAGTTGCTCCTTCTCTTTACCACCATCATTCTGAAAAGCAAAATCTGCAAAAACAGCGTTTTATTACAAATTCAAAGATCTGGAAGCTCTTAACGATTAGATCCCCAGTCACTCGGTTTCGTCTTTTCTTTCTCCCACCTCTGTGGGAGTCTCTACCCATGTACTCAATGCCAGCTGGACCTCACTACGTCATGTTCCTGGGACTTAATGTGCCCACTCATTCCTTCTTATATCCCTGTACATTTATCTTTTGTCTGATTCATGCTTCCTTCAAACTCCAGAAAAATAAAACGTTACCACTTCTGACTCATCTAGCCAGCACTTTGTCTCTACTTCTATTTTAAGGCAGACTTTATCATGTTACAATTATTCATTAACCTGTTGTTCTTCTCACTAAACCATTAGGTATTGCAGAAAATGAGTATCGGCTTACATTTTGTTTCCTCAGAACTAAGCAGCATTTCAGGCTCATGAAATAAATCATATTTAATATTTATTAAATAAAGATTAAAGTAATGGATGGATGGATAGGTACATGGATAATAAAGAAAAAAATGAGTGTATATAAAAAAGTAACTCTTAAGTAATTAAAAAAGGAAAATAGAACTATTTGGATTGTCTATAAACAGGAAAGGAATGATTAAGTGACTCAAAAATGTCAATTCCTCTAGTTAAATTTTTCTGGGATTATTCCCATGACTCTATATTTTCAGACTTGAAAATCATAAATGTGTATGGGTCCTGACATTTAACTTCACATTTGTACCTCAGATATTTCAATTTGTTCTCATTTGGTATAGGTCTGATTTCTAAAACAAAATTAATTCATGAAAATAATAATGTAAGAAGATAATAGCAATCTGTGATACTTTAATTGGTATTAGACTAGCCACTGGGGATGTGGAAAATGTCCAAATGGATACATCAGGGTCAATCCTGCTATATTCATTACAGTTAATATTTCAGTTAAAAATCATCCTAATTTTTTTTCAAAAAGCACTTCTGTCTTGAGTAATTTTCATACTGCTGCTTAACACTGTCAGGAAACTTTCTCACAAAACATTTGTGGTGACAATTATCTTATCCCTAGAAATTACACACTCACTTAACATTAGATATGGTGATGTAGTTGAAATAGAAGCAGCTTTCCCATAAGGGAGCACAGCAAATGAACATCAACATGACTGGCGTACTTCCTGCTGGCAACATTGGGCCTGTAATCACACACTGATGTGCACACACAACACACACTCTGTAGTTAGAATTCAGAGTATTGATCCCTCTCTTCAACCTTTCTTTTCCCTCAAATCTAGAATTTTGAAAAGCAAAGAGAAGTTGATTTGTTCCTAACAAAATTTCTGCAGATTTCCTGGTCTAGAAGAAAATGTCAAAGACAACTACTCCTCAAAGAAACCTGGAATCTCCCCCCATCATTCTTTGCTTCCATTTCTCTAGTTGTAGTTGATGGCACCAGTACCCAACTTAGTAGCCTCTACTTACTTTTACTAGTATTGTACTAGCAATACTTTTACTAGTATTGCTACTTACTGTCTTTGTTACTAATTACTACTATGTTCAGTTACAGTAGAAGAAATTTAAGTTCCAATACGTTAAATGAAACTTCCCACAAGATAACTACAAGCAACAAGGAATAATCTGGGTAGTAGGAGTCTCATTTGGGGGCTTCAATTCCAGTGAAACAGGTCTTTAAGCAGTATTTCAGTTTCTTCCAATCCTTCCTTTGAATGCTATATATTAAGTAATGGGCACTATCCTAGGTGTGGAAAAGGAAAGGAAGAAAAGAAAGCAGAAGAAAAGAAAATGAAAAGACAAGACTCACTGACTTTGTAGACAGGTATAACAATACACATGAAAAGTAAAATTTAAAGTTACTTCAGGCCATGCCAAGACGAAAATAAAACTAAGGGGATAGATTTATTAGCTGACAGGGACAGAAGATTCTTTGAGAAAGTGAGGATTCCGTAAAAGCCTTCAGAGATAAGAGATGCAATCAAACTGAGAGCTGAAAAAAAGAGCATTTCAGGAAGAAGGGACAGCAAGAGCAAATAACTTGAGACAAGACACACTGGGAGAGTAGTGTGGCCTGCAGTGACACCAGCAAGAAGAGCAGGAGACAGGAGGTCATGGGTCATTCATTTATCGAATTCTTGGTGTTCAACGAATGTTACCTGGCTCCTGTGTTACTTCCTAAAGATGAGCAGACTGCAAAAGCCTGTAAGTGTGTTGCTATCATGGATTCAAACAAGAACAATATAGAAGCTACTAGTGGCACATATGGTGTCCTAATCACTTCTCTGTGGTCTCATTCCTATAAATTGGAACTATATGAGCTGAGTTCGAATAGACATAAGAATACAAAGATCCCTTTCTGACTGACAAGCCTGAAATCCACCATTCTTTCTGTTCAAACAGTGGCAATTTTAAAATATTTGAGGAAACAGAAGGGATGAATGAGAGTGTGGATGTAGATGTGTGTCTGTGATTGGAAGTGATCTAAGTTTATCCTGGTAAATGTCTTCAGATTAACTGATGAGAAAAAAATTTCTTAGGTGCATGATTTACCAAAACTTAAAATCTAGCTAGATTGAGACATTTTCAGTAAAGAATGGTAATCTAGAGCAACCTTTCATTCTAGCTTTATAGCTTTTGGTTAACTTGTACTGTTTACCAGAAAGACTTTGAAAGGTGTGTGTGTGCGTGTGCACACACACACACACACACACACACAGATGAACGCATGCACCAGTCTTCTTGGCTGTTCATCAGTTAAAAGAAAATATGACATAGTGGCATCTGAGAGTCAGAGATAGGAGGATTTCCTCCACTTTGACACCAATCTGGGCTACACAGTGAGCACAAGATCAGCCTAAACTATATAACAGGACTCTGTCTCAAAAGAGAAACAAGTCAAGGGATATGTGGAATCATGAGACAAGTATTTTTGCATAGTCTTTAGTTTGAAAGGAAGAAATGGAGAATAATCTAAACTAGTACTATCTGAGACAAAGACAAAGGAATGTTTTAAACTCTATCCTATCCATGAAGAAATAAAAATGATTTGATCTACATAGATTTTTCCCACTCAAATTTTTATTCTCATAGATTGGAGGCTAGCCTTCCTTGGTTTAATCCCAGTTCCAGTATTTAGATGCTGTATAACTTCAGAAACCTCATTTGCCTTCAGGTTCATCATCTGTAAACTGAGGATACCCAGTCAGACGTAGTGGCACAAATCTGTAACACCAACATTCTAGGAAGCTGAGGCAAGAGGATCATAAATTGGAGCCCAGATAGGCAATTTATCACTTAGGGAGACCTTGTCTCAAAACAGAAGTTAAAAAGATCTGGGGATGTAATTTAATGCAGAGGTCCTGGGTTCACCTGTCTGTACCAGGGGGGAAAAATGAAGATAATTATCTCATGAAGTGGTAAGGATTAAATAAATTAACATGCTTAAAGTGCTTTAGAATAATGCTTGG